GAAAATTAACATTTTTGCAAGGTTCGGAATGTCACGCGTGCTCATCAATGATGGAGGTTCCCATTTTTGTAATCGAACCATCGAGGCGTTGCTCAAGAAATACAATGTCACGCATAAGGTGGCCACACCTTATCATCCTCAAACGAGCGGGCAAGCCGAGGTTTCGAATAGGGAAATCAAGCAAATTCTTGAGAAGACCGTGGGGCCTACGAGGAAGGATTGGAGTTTGCGCTTAAAACGATGCATTGTGGGCGTATCGCACTGCCTACAAAACCCCATTGGGATGTCACCTTTTCGGCTCATCTATGGGAAGCCATGCCATCTTCCCGTCGAGTTAGAGCATCGTGCACACTGGGCCGTCAAAACGTTTAACATGGACCTTGATGCCGCAGGTTTACATAGGAAGCTCCAATTGTGTGAGCTTGAGGAAATCCGAAATGAAGCATATGAGAATGCCCGGATTTACAAGGAGAAAACGAAAGCATTCCATGACAAGATGATTCGTGCCAAGACGTTCTCTATTAGGCAGAAAGTGTTGTTGTTCAATTCTCGCATTCGGTTGTTTCCGGGTAAGTTGCGTTCCAAATGGGTTGGTCCTTTTATTGTCACTAATGTTTTCCCTCATGGTGCAGTGCAAATAAAGAGTGCAAGGACGCAACAAGAATTCAAAGTGAATGGGCATCGATTGAAGCCCTATTACGAGATGTTTGAGGAGCATGTCGTGGAGGAGGTACCCCTCCATGCCGTGGCACATAGTCAAGCTTAAACGGAGGTACCGTCCGGCTGGAAGACGTTAAAGCAAGCGCTTCTTAGGAGGCAACCCATGCATGCGACAAAGGAAGACCTAGAGAGCACTCCAATTCCAGATTTGCGTTCCTAAACCCTTCTCTTTGTTGTTTATTTCGTTTCTGCCATGTTCGGTTGTTAGTGTTTGTTTGTTTGTTTATGTGTTTTTGTGTGAGTCTATGCTTAAAACATTGAGGACAATGTTTGGTTTAAGTGTGGAGGGGTAACCAAAGTGTTTTGATGCAATTTCGTAGGGTTTTCTCACTCATAATTTCCAATGTTGTTTCTTGCTGTTTTTAGGCGTTTTTAGGCTGTTTTGGTGTGTTTTAATGTGTTTTGATTCAAAAATCCGAAAATCCCATAAAAATTTGAAAAATTGTTTTACAAAACCCAAATAGAGTCGTTTTTAAGTTGTTTTTGTGTGTTTGTTTGTGTCTTAGGGTACCTTCCAACACAATGATGAGGATTCGGTTTTTAATTGCATGACTGTTAAAGAGAGTTATAAACATGGATGAAAGTTTGATTTACTCTTGGTTTATGCTTGGTTGTGGTTATAACTTATGAATTCACATGTAATCATAAAGAAAAAAATTAGTTTTTGTAACATGTTTGAAGGAAGGAACTCAAACTAACGCTACAACCTTGTGAGACTTGAGCCTAAACATTATTTGGAGAGTTAAAATCGGTGCATTCTTGTTTTCTAAAGTCGTTGCATGATCTCACTATTCTTTGTTTGGTTATTACTTAGAAGGCGTTTCATCACTTTAGTTCCAAATGCTAGAACTCATGCCAATTTCATTCAAAACATTTCATTGAATTGCATAACACGTATTCAAGATGAAGTTGTAGTAGTTACAACACCATAGCCAAAAAGCCTTCATTCCATACATTTGTTTTTTGTAGGTTTTAGCCCCGTTGAGCCTTGTTTAGCCTATATTGTTTGTTAACCCACGTTATCCTTACCTAGCCTAGATTAGGACCATCCATACTCTTGTTCTTAAAGCATAGTAAGCATGACTTAAAATGAATTCCTTTTGATCAAGGGTGTGCAGAAAACAAGTGTGGGGGAAAGTGAGCCTTGTGTATTTTGTGCCAAAGTCTTAAATGAGGCATGGGGTAGAAAAGAAAAAGAAAAGAAAAAAAAATGTGAAAAGTGTGAAAAAGAGTTGAAAGAGCATGAAAATGAGCTCTAAGGTGTTGGTTGTTGAAGAATGGGTCCAAAACAGTGAATTTGACCCTAAGTGTTGCATGAATTTCCCCTTTGAGTTTAAAAGTTGATTTTTGCATTCAAAAGTGAATTCTAAGTGTCAATTTCATTGCTTTGCTTACTATTGTTTTAAGAACGTTTGTTTACCCTTCACCTTTCTTTGTTAGCCAATACCCCAAGCCCCGTTACAACCCTTAACTTCTATCTTGAGTGTTGTGTATTTCAATTTGTGGAGTTTGGGATTGGTATGAGCATATGGTGTCACTGGTTCTCGCGTCTAAGTAGTAGCATTCCTTTCATGAGATCATATACATGCTTATTAAGTTCAGAAAAAGCTTTCCTTGTTATAACATATGTGAGCATTCGTTTTCATATTTACATCAATCTTCTCACATATAACTAGTATAGGGTGTGTAGTCAGAAAATCTGTGTGAAAATTGAGTGCATAGCTAGTGAGGATTTGAGCAAAGTCTCTAAGGCATGTTACTACATTCAAAATCATGTTTTACTTGGTTAAATGCGAACTAGTACGTGGTAACTATAATTAAGTATGTGCTTAAGTGTAAAGATAGCTAAAATCTGTGGGAATGATAATTTTTAATTTGTCATGTGCATTGGAAATCCCTGAGGCAAATGTTGGAAGGTTTAGGTTGTTTTTGTTTGTTTTGTTTCGTTTTGTTTCATTTTGTTTCTTTGTTTTGCTCGAGGACTAGCAAAAGCTAAGTGTGGGGGAATTTGATAGGAGCATATTTATGCGCCTTAGTTAGCTAGTTCTTATGCATTTTCGTTTTGTTTTCTTCGTTAAAGTAGTCTTTTGAGCTACTTTCATGTTTTTTCAGGCTTAAAGGGCATATGACATAAAAGGATGCAAATTGGAGCCTTTTGGAGCAAAATGGAGCTTAGATTGGAAAGTACATGCTTGGAGCACAAGGAATGGACGAGAGTGAAGGGCAAAGGAGCTTAAGAAATGAAGAAATGAATGTGAAGAACAAAGAATTCAGAATTAGAAACCAAAGTTTCTAAAGTTGGAAGTTTCTATTATTGGAGGTTTCCATTTTCGAGAGTTTCTATTCTTGGTTTTGGGCTTTCTAGAAGCCCTATCTACAAACCCAAACCCTAGCCCACTAATTTGCCGCACCTAGGCCTTTAAAATTTCTGATTTCCTTGCCTTGCAAGGCATTCTAGAAGCCTAAACCCTAGCCCACTAGACCAGCCGAACCCTAGGCCTTTTCCCTTGCAAATTCTGATTGTTTTAACCTATTTTCTGGTGGATTTGGGTTTCTAGAAACCCTAATCTGATTGCTAGGGTTTTTAAGTGCCTATATATACTCTCTTAAACCTCTTGGCCGAACCTATCACCTCCCATATTCATTCTACACGCCAAAACCCTAGTTCTAGTTCTTGCCGCAGCCTTCCATCCCCAAACTCCCAACTTTCTGCCCAAATTCAACCTTGCCGCAACCTTCCATTCAAATAACCATTCATCCACCATAGCCGCACCTTTCCACCACCATCACCACCTCGTGCAGCCACCAAAGGAGGAGAAAGAAGGAGTGCCGTGCAGTCCAAATGAGGAATACACCTTGCACATGCAATCTGCCATTAGTGGAGTGTTTGGAGTTCTTTCTTTCTTTGTTTCTGTTTTCATGTTTAATTTAGATTGTTGTTCAATTATGTTAGACATGTGGAACTAATTTCTTTTTAGTTAGAGGTGAATTTGAAGCCATGGACATATGTTTTATATGATTTGATTTCTTCCAATTATGATTTCAGAAATTGTGAATGTGATTTACTTATCTATTTGATTGATAACTTGTTTATGTATGTGGGTTGAGGGTCGACACTTAATTTGCATGCTTAAACTTGATGCTAGGGTATAAGGGAATTTCACCTAATCGTTATTAACTTATATTCATAAGTAGTGAAAGTCGCTAGTCACGATTGCGTTAAGTAAATCCTAGGCAAGAGTAACATGCGTATCCCATAGTTATGAATGCCTCGTCAATGCTTATGATTTCCATTGAATTTAATGATCTTTGATATGTGTCTCTATCATGCGTATTCCATAGTTAGGGTCATTGATAAGAATAATTTGGTTGTAATGCGTATTCCATTCAATTCAATGAATCTAGGGAAATCTGAGAATTAATTGGTGCAATCTAGTTAATTTGGGGCATTGTCATTCATGGTTTGTTGAAAGAGTAATTGGAGATTGAGTTGTATGCATATGTTCATGTGTGGATAAGGAACCCTCTAACTAGCTTCTCACCATTCTATTTAATCACAATCTGTTTTGCTTTACATTTGTTTTTAAAGTCTGAGTTTTAAAGTTTTAATTTCGTCAAAATCATTCCCCCACTTATTTTAAAGTGTTAGATTAGTTAGAAATCCATTTAGTTGTGTTTTTAAGTGTTTTGAGTCAAGTCATAGTCCAAATTCGTCCAAAGTAGTGTAGGTGCTCAAAACTGCCCTGAAAGTGGTTTTTAGGCAGTTTTGAGCCTTCTAGTTGCTGTTTTGAGTTTTTAGTTTGTTTAGGTGTTTTAAACCCTAGTTTTGCATTAATTGAGTCTAGTTTAGTGTTCTACATTATGTTTTTATGTTCTTGAGTCAGTTTCACATTGATTAGCATCCCTAGTTAATCCCCGGTTAGAACGATCCCTATTTGCTCATATACTACAATTGTCATCCATAGGGTTTAATTTGTGTGTCAAGTTAATTTTCACATCAAGTATATGTATTTGTGGGGTGTTTATCTGAGTCCACCATTCGTTGGTGCTATGAGTATTTAGGAGTGTGAGTTCATATGTGTACTTGCCAAAAAATTATGATTTTTACTTTCAGTCGATCAAATAAAAATTCATTCAAATATGACACTACTTGGTTTTGAGACTCCTAGTATTGGCAAATTAAAAAATATATAAAAATAGAAATAAAAAAAAAGACTCCTAGTATTCTCCCAATGTTAAGATTTAATATTCATTTTTGCTCGGCTTAATGATATTTTCTATCAATTTGATCATTTGGTCTAACGAATCTCCACATTCGTTGCACCCCCAAGGTAAACTACCCCTCCTGGCGAATACCAACACCCTAATAAACATGGTTTTAAATATTAGTCTCATCTATGATATATTTGCTTTGCTACTGTCACTGATAGAGAGATTAATAAAAGACCACTCACAATGTTACTATGTCATAGTAATAATTTAATTACGTCTTTTATTATAACCAAACCTATACCTATTTGCAATATTCAACCAACTTTAAACCTTTTGGATTAGAACACGGGCAAATGAAAAAAAAAAAGTTAATGCAAAATCTTTAGCACTTGTAAACCTCTCAGCATATCTTTCCCAATTGTATTTCTCACCTCCATCCTCTCCTACCTAACCTGAGCAATCCATGTTGAAACAAAAGCAAGCACTGATACAATCAAGTAAAATAAATGCAAACCAAGAACATGTTGAACTATATAAATAAGGAATTCAAAACTTTATAGCAGAAAATCAATTACATACAACTTTTCTTTAAGCACTCTTTAAATGCAGAAAAGAAAACAAACCTCTTGTAGAAGTGATGAGAAGGAATGAAAAATCAGAACACCACCTGTTCAAAAATACAAAAATGAAAAGAAAAAAAAATCAATGTTCAAACCTCTGTGCAAAATAATGAATTTGTGTTATCATCATATTATCATCATCATTATCATTATTACTACCCACCTGCAATTCAATTTTCTCCGATTTCAAGCCACTCTAATTCTCATCCCAGTTAACAGGTTTCGAATCACCACTAACTTCTATAATTCCCAAATCACAAAATTTTAGTAAGAGTATGCCGAAACACAAAATCAAAATTCAATTTCATTGAGCACATTGCTAACTTAAAGATCGAGACTTTTATTTACTTCTACAATTCTACGCACTTTTGAGCCCTAAATTTTACCGGAAACAAAAGAAAGTGAAAGAAGTCGTACCTGGTTCGAGAGGGCTTGCAAGCTTCTATACAAAAACCCTAAAATTCGAACAACAACGTTTCCTGAAATAAAAAATGAAATCAGATAAAAAAATATTTGGATTTACAGTTCGTATTTTGAGCCTGAATTCATGAAAACAAACATAACCCATTATTTATCAGCGATTAATGATCTGATTAATTTAGTGTTTAATCATAATCAATGGCATGTAGCTTTAGCCGAAGTGGGGTTTGGGAAATTAGCCAGTACCCATGTTGCTTTTTGTTTGTCTGCTTTCCATTTCTCCTCTCTTGCCATCTTCTCTGTATTTTGGCTGCTTCCCGCACTCATTTTTTTACTCCTGGTCCTGTGGTTCTCCGGCCGCCGTTAATGTTTGTGTGGTCGGACGTCGATGGACCACGCGGACGATGACTACTACAGCAGTGACGATGATCGGTTTCAAGAAAACGGCGGAGAAAAATAGAGGAGCTACGTTTTTAGATGATCGGATTGAATTTGAGACAGAGAGAGGGGGAGAGAAAGAGGGAGGAAGAGAAGCAGAAAAGCAATGGAACAAAATGGAAGACGCTGGAAGCAAATAGAAGTCCTGACAAATGGAAGCACGTGGAAGCAAATTGAAATCCTGACCAACACGTGTACAGAAGGGCAAAACCGAGATTTGGTAAACATGGGAGGGCAAATTCGGTAGACCACTGTATAATGAAGTGATTCAGTTCATTTTCTCTTTTAGTATATACTAGCAAAGGAGCCCGCGCGATACTACGGATTTTAAAACTGTTAGGCATAACAAAAACAATTGGTGCAAAGTTGTAATGAATAGTTTGAAACGAACAGTTTCTTGACATGTTCATGCTTCGGTAAATAATATTCATCAGCATATGTAAAAACCAAACTAAATTTATTAATTAAAAAAATTATTTGCTTCCTCTACCCAACCCAAATTAATTCATACAAAATTTGCACAACACAAGTTAAGAGATCAAACCAGATCTACCCAATTCAAATAAGAGATCAAACCAAGCTAATCTTTTCCTTTTGGAAAAAGCAGCACTCTTGGAGAAAAGTGAGGTAATTAGTAGTGTACCTCTAATCAGACATCTGTAAATCAGGTTGGCCTTAATTGATCAAACCGCACTTGCTTTCTGAAATTCTGAAATATCTATCAAAATGAAATCACACAAAATTAAATTTGAAAAACAAACTATACTAATTCAAATAAGAAATACACACAGTTCCCAAATAAAGAGCATGGTTTCAAGTTAGTGATTTGATTTAGGCACAGAATGCAATAGCAACCTATCTATTTATATAAATTAAAAATATTTAAATATATACTTCAATAATGTTTACAGTTATTCTCTACTGTAAGCAATTATTTTTGTTTAACAAAGTTCATTATTTTGTAAGCAATTACTTGTATACAAATTCGAAAGCGATTTATTCACTTAAGTTCCTAATCAGAATAACATAAACATTCACATTAATAAAGAACTTGGAAAATGGTATGGACCTCCAATTGTTTACATCTTCTCATCTTGTCTAAAAATAAACACTACATATGGGTTCTTCCACTGGATGAACACTTCATTTTCTATATTCTATTGGGTTCACTTTCTTTTCATTTTTTTTCATTTTTACCATACCAATCTGTGCATCAGTATGCCTTAACCTTTGAGTCCCTATATGCACCTACTTTATTACCCTCTCTCTCTCCAGCTTTCCTTTTAAATAGGTTATCATAAACCTATGCTCACTTTCACCCAACAACAAAAGAAACAGAGGAGAAAGGAAGACACCACATTTAATTAATTCATGATTCTGTCTAATTAGCTTTGATTGAACTGGAAAACCTAAATCCTAAGCTCTATATAACAACCTGCATTTAAACTGTCAAGTGATTTAAACTGCATTAGGCTAATTATTTTCAAATTTAAACTCACAACCATTACAAAGAGTTGCAAGCATCACAATGCATAATTGAAATATTAAAAGAATAATAAATCTCTCCCCACCTAAAACAGTTAGATTCTCATTCTCATCGAAGGCCCAGATGATGTTTAAATACTCTATGGCGTTTTGCACCTGTAAAAGATATCAATAGACAAAAGGTGAGTTGCAGATGAGCAGGAAAATTTACAAATAAGTACAACATCATTTCAGGAGGAACAATTTGGGGTCAGCCTTGAGCTGCACGTGTGCAGGGCGCAACTAAACCACCATATGCCTCTAAGATAACAAACAGACATTAATAAGCATATGCACTGAATGCTAAGGAATTAGCAATCTTTAGCTCTAATCAGTTTAAGAAAGTAACGCTACAATGAAAAGCAAATTACAACAATTCTCAATAAGCTTTCAGATCATTTTAGTTATGACAACTTAAATATTTCCATGTGATCTCAAATAATTGGAGAACCTCACATGATCCATCATCCATGTGATCTCACTTCTTTTTCAAATGGGTAGCCTCCAATCGATCTAATATCTACTGAGTAACACTCAAAGATCAATACTTTAAGCAAAAACATAAGGGGTTCCATTTATTTCCCAAATAAAATCAATGGTTTACATAGAAATTAGAAAAGCTGACCAGTGAGCAAAGAATTCGACTATGGCAAAGGAGGCAGGGGTGTCTCCAAGGACTGCATCGAAGCTGGTGGCGTTCAAAACGACGGCGAAGTCGCAAGCTGATGTTCAAATTCCTGATTTTCTGTAATGGTATAATGATGTTTGAGTGAAAAGAATAAACATTAGGCTCATTCATATCTCTATCAGTACAATTAATTTGATTAAATCGTCCATAACTTTCTTACAATAAAGCTCTATATTTCTGTTTAACCGCACTAAAAAGCTTGTTTTTCACTCAAGAATCTTGTTAGTCCATGTCACCAGTAATTTTTCGAAAAAATAACACACATTTTAATCTAACACCAACCAAGGAGTTGTCAAATCAAGAAAAATCAAAAAGAGAAATAACTTACCCAAAAAATAACAGGACCGCCGGAAGTAAAACAGAGAATGACCAAGCAAGGAACCAAACCGCAAAATATCCTCTTTGCCAGGAAAACTCTAGCATAGGAACATAGCCAACCCAAAACCAAACGGTTACAATTCCATCCAAAAATAATCAAAACACAGAATAAAAATCAAAACACAGCAGTTAGAAAACATACCTCAGTTGTAGAAAATTAACTTCCCAGCAATGCAAAAACAACCGGTGCTCAAACGGAAAACAAAAATCAGAAATAGATCCGACCAAAATCGGTGCAAATCAGACATAAACAAACGCAAAAAATCACTTGTTTAGGCTTGGAAGCTACGAAATTGAAGAATCTATTCCTCATATTGATTCTACTTCATATATCATTAGTAGGATCGCTAAATCATGAAATTATCCAAAAATCCTATATTGTATAAAATTGAAAATTGCAGGTAATCAAAAGCTAAAGAATTTTACACAAAAGAACTAACTTTCAAATAATTAAATATATAATTACGGGAGAAACGATACCTGTGTATGGAGGTGCTTCAATGGAGGGGGAGAGAGAGAGAGAGAGAGAGTGGAAGAGAGAGAAGCTCTGAAATCGGGAGGAAGAAGCCGCGAGTAGGTTTTTTATTTTTAGTTGCTTCGGCGAACGAAGAGGTGGAAGAAAAGAAGAAGAAAGAGAGAAACGAAAGATGCTTCCAGCATCTTACGGAACCCAAGGAGGTGAACCCCTTTGATTTTCTTTTGCTAAGCAGGAGAAATGGAGGGTGAATCGGTGTTGTAGTTGGTTGCGACATAGTGACAGAGAAGTCGATGGAAAAGAAGAGCAAGGAAGCAGGTGGAACACCCCAGATTTTTCAGCCTGCTTCCATTTCACCGATGACAAACACATGTAAAACATAGCGCAATTGAAATTAAACAGACCAAGCAGGGGCAATTTCGTTAGATCACTGTTACTTTCACTGTTCATGAACAGTGTTCCACCCGTTTGGGTTTTAGTATATACTAGAAATATTGCCCGCGCGTTGCTGCGAGATTAAAAACTGCATGAAAAAATATGTTTAAGAAGGATAAAAGATTGTTACAAATGATTAATGTTATCTACACTGAAAGATGTTTCAACTTTTTGAAAAAAGTTTCACATGAAAAGTATAAATTGAGTGAATCAAGCTCTTGAAGCTCTTTGAACCACTTTATGAGCCTAATTGGTACAATTGAAAATGAAGAGTTTAATCAAACTTTATGAACATAATTGAAACAAATTAATACCTTGACTAACTAAATGAACCGCAAATGAAAACATCTAAAATCCTATTCATTAAGTACAATTACCAAAGGAAGCTGAATAAAATGTCAAAAGTGATACACTGAGATAAGGTTGGTGGCATCAAAATCACTAATAAAATATGCATCAAAATCACTAAGACTTGACTTCACTTGCTTGTTAAAATATAAAAAATTCAAATAATATTGTTTCCAAAAACTTGTCTAAAGAAAAGAACACCATTCACCTCTAAGGCTCTAACCATTTTTTGGTGGGTGGGATGGACGCGCTTCCTCTTCCACATTTAAAGACCAATGTTGGGGGTAGACCAAGAGTAAGTGCAACCCGACTGCAGCAAAAAAAACGCAATTGACTTTCACACTATAGAAATAAATGTTAAAAAACACATACTCGCACCCAATGCTTTTTTTTTTTTTTGGTGCAGTATAAGAATAAAAAAGGATAACATTCCCCCGAAACCCAAATTCATCCCCCAATTTCTTGCAACAAAATTTTAGTAATTACAAACGTCCCAAACTTACTAAAAGGTTTTCAATAACCTTCTTGCATTGCAAGGTCCAAGAAGAACCAAACCATTTCAAGAACTCGCATTGCAAACATAATAGAACTAATTCAAATATGAAAATCCACAAATCATAATGCTTCTATCTAGTGAATCATCTTCATGGACCGCAACCTCTAAAATCCTAAAAGGCTTCTTTCTTTCTCCACTATCTGAATGTTCCATTTATTTTCTACTATTGAACTAAATTTTCACTTAATTAAATCTCAAACACTTCCAACTAAATCTTAAATCAAACAGAGCTGTTCAATTATATTAAACTACACATAGGGAGAGGGAAAGAGAAGAGAGACCTGGAATTTCCAGGATCCTCAGTACTGAGAGGGGCATAATTCCGATTGGGATTCAAAAGCAAAGTATACACCAAATGCTATATCAGTGTTGTCAGATGCTGAAAAGTAACTGCAATCCAGGGAACAATTTCGTTTATAAGCAAAATATAAAATAAATAGAAAGATTCCGGGAAAATTTGTGATGGTGGAAAACATAAAAGCCAAACTAAAACTATAAGCCTGTATTAGAGGTTTATTAAATCCAATGTTGAAACCTATTTAATAGGATTGTTCAAAACCTAAAGAAGGATTGAATAGTCTTGATAGAGTAGAGGGAAAAGAAGAAGCAAGCCACTATAAAATTACAAACATCGTCCAACTGAGAACAATATGTAAAAAAGTTGGCTACTTATTTGTAAGATGGAGAATAAATGAAGGCATGCTCATGGATATGGAGGCTAATGAACATGGTTAGATACTGGGTATGCATATCATTTATTTAGTAGATATTGAAGGCAGGAAATGTAGTTTCATAATTGGAGAAGACCACTTAGGAAGAAAAATACAACATAAATGTGAATTGCAAATATAAATCCAATTTTCAAACTAAATTCACTAATATAAATCTGAAACTTGAATTATTTATGTTTTCTATTAAAAGTTCCAGTGCTTATCTTCTAGCCATCATACGTCTAAAACAATACTTTTTCATCCAAATTTTTGAAACCATTCATACTCATACCAATCAACTCTATCGTGCTCAAATCAATTCCGTCTAATACGTAACAAAAAATTTGTACTTACATCTTTACTATACCATGTCTCATTTTCATGTCCATTAGTGAAGTCAATATCGTCGCACCAACTGACCATTATTTTGCAACTGTGAATGAGAGATCTAGTTAAAATCTACCCCACGGGATCTTGCCACTGGAGGAGCAGCTTCCGCCACCGTAAAAAGCATCGCTTCCTCAAGAGAATGTCTCCTTGTTTCCTTTGGAGCTCCACATGTGGCTCTATCCTTTACCAAACTATTGGAACTGATGCTCATATCTACTGGTTTAGGAGCTGGTTGTTTTGCATTCTTCGCAACCCAGTCTTTCCTCATACCTGAAAGTTCCCAAGAAAGTTAAGAGCAGAAGGAAATAACAACTGACGCATTCTCCATGTTCCACATAAAGCTCATAATTAATTTTAGAAAACAACTTACTTGGCACGAATAGCTTTCTCAGTCCCAAAATTTGGTGGCAATTCTTTTCCCAATAACTATTTCCCTTTTCATTCACTTGTCTACACAAAAGTACATAGAGAATTAACTAACAGGATAATGAATCAGATCATAGTAGGTTAGAAAAGATTAAAAAACACAGAGAGCAAGAATGTGAATAAGGAAGCAACTGCAACTCAATGAGACAGATTACTGTAAAGTAAATCATGGTTCCCAATCCAAATACATATGCTAAGCAAAGCACAAATAAAGACATGAAATCATTGTAAATTTTGAATAAAATCTCTCTCTCTCTCTCTCTCTCTCTCTCTCTCTCTCTCTCTCTCTCTCTCTCTCTCTCTCACACACACACACACACACACAAAATAGGAGAAGCAGATTTGCAGAGACATAAAAGGGTAAAAAATGAAGAGGCAACAAACGGTAGGAAGAGTATAAGGAATGTTTAAAACCTTCTTAGAATTAACCACATTTGGATTTGTTCAAAAAATTACAGAAAAGAATTACCAACTACATTACACTAACATTGTTGTCCCACTAAAAAAAAACTCACCAAAAATAGTCTCCGTGGTTAAAGGGATTCGGCCTGATTCCAAAACATATATCTCTCACTGTCAATCAAATATGTACTAAATCAGTGTAATGCACTATATCATGTTCCGAACCACAATGCATTCAAAGCAATAATCAATTGAGCACACTAAATAAGTGGAAACATTTATACCTCAATCCGATTTGTGTCTCCTCATGTTTGCTTGTAGTTACAGACTTTGATAGGGTTTCCATTTTCTTCCAACTGAAGAAAGGAATTGGCATCTAGTTATGTTTCAATAGTTATGTGTTCAATGCGAGGGAGAGCCAAATCCAAGCAGTAGGTTTCCGTTAACTTCCCACCAAGGAAAGTAAAATCAATTGCAACGATAAAGAAAAAGCACAAACTTGTAAAATATGATACAAAACCATAAAAAGCAGGAAACGGTATTCTCAAAATGCACAAAAATATAAAAACAGATAGATCCCTACGTATTCAACCTTCAGAGCACACAAAAAGTTAAAATTTTCTTCAATAAAAAAGTCAAAGGGAAAATCTGAAATTATATAGCCCAAGCACAAAAAGCTTGGAAGCCTGCACACAAAAGCCCCAAAAAACTACAGCCACACTCAAAATCCGAACGCAGGAACAAAACTCCAAAAATGAAAAAAAAAAATATTTACAGAAAACGGATCTGCAAATGGAACAGAACCCCAAAATATTTAAATTTTGTTCAACAAAAGATATAATATGAAAAACAGAAATTATATACCTTGATAAGAAAGGGCTTCCAATCTTGTATGCAAAAACCCCATAATTCGAACCCCAGCCTTTCCTGAAAGCAAAAACCAAATCAAATCAGGCAACCACACACAAATCCCAAAAAAAAAGTAAAAATCAAGCACACTGAGAAAGACGAAAAACTCACCAGGAAACGCTAGGTTATGTGAGCAAGAAATTGGATTCCGACCGAATTCAAAAAAGGCAGAAACTTGTAAGGGTTGAGGGTTTTCAAACAAAAGAATTTTGCAAGAGCGCAAAAGTTTCTGACCAAGAACCGGCGTCGATAATTGGCGAGAGAAATATGCAAACGGCAGATAGAAAAGAAAGGAAGACTAATTTGCAGAGCTTGTGTGAAGGGGATGAATTTTCAAATCGCTGAAATCTCTCTCTCTCTCTCTCTGTCTCATCTCCCTCTCTAAGAAAATCCCTAAAATCCCTCCACAAATCCTCCCATATCTCTCTCTCACACACACTCTCCATCTCAGGGGCGGTCCATCCCCCGAAATCCTCATCGAATGACAACGAAGCCAAACCTACCCCACAATTCGCTCAAAACATTAGAGGACCAAATTGCCCTTCCAAACACATCATCCCTACCGTCGAATTTTAAGCTTTGATGGGCAGAACTGTCATCAAACGACAGAGGGTCCAACTGAGGGCCGGGCTTTTACCGAAAACTAACGAAGCCCATGAAAAAAATTGAGGCAGCCCAAACCCCAACCCAGCCACAGATTTGGTGGCAGCAGTGTGTAAATAAGGCAAAATCAAGGGACAAAATTTTGACTGTAGCTAAGCTACAGTCAAATCCCTCCTCAATTTTAGAATAGATAATAATAGAATATAATCTTAAATTGATTAAAATAATGTTAATAATTATATTTTATTCTTTAACAGACTTGTGTGTGGACATATTGGGTGGATTATAACAATTAAAAATAAAAAATAGCTCAAATAATTAGTATTTTTAAGCTTAAAGAACTGAAACTCTCCAATAATAGAGCCCACCTTATCCTTGTTAGTAAGAACTGCAACTCTCTAATGATAGAGCCCACCTTATCCTTGTTAGTAGCTCCACCGTTGTCTCTCTTTGAAGTCCAAAGCTAACGAAGCTGCTCTGGTTGGAGGAGACAGTCTCAGATTGTTTATGTCCACGTGGGTCACAATAACAAGTTATACTTGAATTGAATGTGTTTGATCTCGAACAGGAAGTGCACCCCCTCGAGTTGAACGTGGGATGACAAATTTAGACATTGTCAGGTTTTGCTTCAATGAATTCATTTTATGGGCTAAAAAATAAAGCCTTATAAAGAGCTTGTCTTAATTAACTCAAAATAGAAATACATCAATAACGAAAACTTAAAAATATAAATTGAAGTTGAAATTTTTTTATTTTTTAGCATCAAAAGCGCATACGTAATTGTTAAATAGAAAGCTCATACATAAATGTCAAATAGAAAGCGCATACATTGTCTTCTCATTACAAGTTTCTCAAAAAGTCATAAATTCAAACGTAACTAAAGATACCTATGTTATTCAAAACACATTTTTCTGCTTCCTATCAAATATTCCCCGTCCGAAAGTAGAAATGAATAACTCAACAAGCAACGGAGATTGCATCCATATGAACGAGGCAACTGGAACACTGGCAAGCAAAATGCTTGGAATAACAATTGATGATTTCCCGTCAAGCATAAGGTAAAGGGCACAAGAAAAGACAATCATCATGGTGGCGATAGATAAAAAGAGGGTGAAAAGGCCTATTATCATTTTTGTGGGCAAGGATTTGTAGAAATCATCTTCAGAAAAACGAGACGTGAGAATTCCCAAAAACATGATAACCGAAGTTGTGGAAGAAAAGAGTGAGACTGCATCTGAAACTATAAATGTTGTGACTACCTTTTTAGTTAAGAATGTAGGAAGACCTGTATTTTCATCATTTCCCCCCGGAACTGTGAATGCTGCAGCAAACATCATGGTGACAATGAGAGCACCTACAACTGTACAAGAAGTTGCTGTTTCCTTCAATGACTCTTCTGCCTCTTTTGCCAATTCTCTATGATTTTCCGTAAATATTTCTCGTGGTGTCTTATTATCTTTGTTCACAAGTTCAATTTGCACGGGATCTGAAATGCTCTCCACCTCCTGCATTTTTGGCAACAAATTTTTTTATGGATGTGACTCTAAAATTTTTATCTCTTCGTATAAATCCTTGAACTTTTGTCTTTTGGACACCACATAACCCAAAATCATTGGTTAAGAACATAGGATGACAATATAGTACATAGTTAAATAATATTAATGTTTTCCTGCCACTTAGTATTGCGATCTAGTGGTATTCCTCTTCACTCGTAAGTGAGATGTTTTATGTTCGATTATCACCAAAGGCGAACTTGAACCACATTATTGATAACACATTGTAAGGTTAAGTCCACCCCTTCCCTTAGTACAGATAATATTGTTTGTTCAAATAATAATAATGTTTTCCTTTTTATTTTATTTTTCATTATGCCTCTGCATGTCGACAAACTTTTTTATTTTTTATTTTTAAAGAGAGTAATTTCTCCATTCTCTTTATTTTTTTCTTTAAATTCAATAAATAAAATAACAAAAATATGTGAATGAGTTGGAGAAAATGAGAGTAAAATTATAGCCACAAAATATATAGAAACAATATTTAGGCAAAATATTTCATAAAATAAGCATAGATAGATAGATTGAAAAGTAGTCACCTTGAACCATTGTAGTTCTCTTTGCATTTTCAAAGCCGCACCTTGAATGTGATCAATTTGTGAAAATGGGGTAATTCTTGCTACTGTGTGTAGTATAGTATTATCAAAGTCATCTCCAGAACGATAAACTATTTTCTGTATTTCATCGAATTCATTGAGGTCAAGTATATCTCCTTTTTTGTAGAACTTATGGATGACATATATAAGATTATAAACTTTGTGGTGACGACATTCAGCGGCAATTTGGAATAGGTTTTGGCCTTCTTCGTTTTGAGCTTTAAATACGGGATATGACGTATGTTTAATCAAATGAACAATATATTCCACATGCCCTTGTTTTGCCGCTACGCACAGTGCTTCCTTGAATTTCTTTTTTTGATAATCAGTCATACTTTCTACATTCGTTGCTTTACACATGAGAGGTAGAAACTGCTGGACCCGCTCATGCATCAATTTCATCTGATATATACGATTGATTCCTAGGTTCATTAAAACGAATACAAAATTACAATCATTCTAAATTTATATTGTCTATTAATAAAAACAATCATAAAAAATCAATTAACGATATGAATGTGTATGTGGCCTACCCAAAAGTGTTTGGAGCCTATCCAAAAGTGCTTGGAGAATCGTTATTAGTCCTCTGAATAAACTCATTCCTGCATTACAAGTCAAATTTGATGAAAAAAAAAAAAAACCTTTTTATTTACTATAGATGGGTCATTCTTCATAGTAAGTTGGTTTTTGTCATACTCAATATGTGTATTACTTGATTTGTTTTTTTATTTTTTTATTTTTTCTTTTTTCATATCACACTTGTATCAATGAGCCTACCTCTATTAGAGAGATGATACCAGTGGCGAAGCCAGAATTTTAATTGTGCATGGCCGATATATAAACCAACTAAAGGGAAAAAAAGGTCCAACTTTTTAACCATGTACAAAAATCATAACAATATTGGTAGACCGATAAGTGGCCCGGCTGGCATCGACACAAACAATGCCATATTTAGGCTGCAGATCCTCTAACAACTAACACAGGATGAATATTCTTATTATAAAAAAAGTCCAAAGTGAACAATATCCCCAATTCCTTAATACTCTAAATGACCATGCAACCGATTAGAGCCGGAGCCCATCATAAATTGGTGTCTTCCTCGTACAAGCATAATAAACAATAAGAAGACAATAACAATAAGATGGAACATGATGTCCATTCAAACAGTAAAACCAGGAATCGAGCGAACATCAACTCGGATTATAATGCCCTTGGTCATACAAATAATAATTATGTACACCAAAAACAAATAAATACATATAATTAGCCCGGTAAAATAAACCGTCGCCTTCAGACTCGACTCTCAAGTAACACTGTGAATGTTGCATACTAATAATATCCACTAGAACATAAGTAAACACAAGTAAATCAACTAGAACAGCAATCGAGTATATTCTCGATCGATCTATCATTTGTGTGTCATATACCATAGACGACAACAATCTATTGTCGTGTGTCTTATGACTTCCATACTAGTCGTGGAGACAGCCTCACAAATGGATCAAGGTACTAGGTCTGTGACGCTCCCATGACCATACGGCTTCAAGTCAGCCATCATTCCACTTTCCTCTCTCATGCACTTCTTAGCAAACGAACCTACACATCAGCCGCTTTATACTTGAGTGTATATGGTGAACTATCGTTTGTCATCAGAGAAGTTTAATCCTTTGTTACTGCAGCGACAACGTAACAAGCTCATTATCCTCACCTCGCTTAGGATTAACATACTAATAAACTAAAGTTGATATCCATAACATATAAATATCTTTAATCTCGTAGCAAGTAAATCGATCTAGACATACAGCACGAAAAACGTCCTGCTAATCATATATCAGTCTTAAAAAATGAATCTATCAATTTAAGTTATGAACAATCAGAAAAATACGTTACACGAAGAACATAGCTCAAAAATTATATTAGAGTAAGCGCAATAGCGTCATGCTGTATCCTCTGTCTCCTATTCTCGCTCCGCTTCTAGCACTAGCTCACTGCTGCTATCCATAGATCCGCCAGTGTAGTGCATATTCGCAAATCACACAAATACTAGCATTATGTAGAGAGTATATGAACTACGAATCGAAGGTGTGAGAATCATAGGTTGCACAAAACGCTGGGCCCGTACGGCATAGTAAATAGAAGGTTGTGGGTGAAATTAAGGTTAAAGTTCGTCATGACACATCCTATTTTATATTCTATTCTCGGTTATTAAAGGGTTTTGGACAATGAAACGCTTCATTTAACCTCACATAATACTTCGGCTCGCGCAATGGGTTCACTGTGTCTACAATTTTGTGTGTGTAAGTATTGGTTTTGACTGAGAGCAATGTGAACATAAAGCTGGTAAAGTTGTGTTCGAGTTGAATCTGAGGTAGCATATGAACTCTTCTATCTCGAGAATCTACGCCTCGATATCCCTTATATTTCGAATATAAACAAACTCCTCTAAGCGGTAGGGATAGAAACTAGCCGAGGGAAATAAATAGTGTGCTACGGACCACGGACCCTTCGATTTTCCGGAAGATATCATAGAGCTTTATTGTGAGAGGCTAGGCCGTACTAAAAATTCTTATTTTAGCACTCGGCGATACTTCAAACATAATAACACAACATATCCAACACCACCTCGCGCTCACGCATAACATGATCAAAGCTAGCCCCTTATCCTGCAGGAACACCAATGTACGTAGACCGAGTTACAATGCCAATGATATCATGCTTTTTGGCATCTCGACCAAAACAGATACAAGCTAGCATACGACAGTCTGTGCTCTACACCATCTGTCATCTAAAAGTCTGTGGTTCAGAATCTACTTTCTCTCACAATACAATACCACTTGCTCCGATTGTATTGAATGGATAGCATCCAAGAAGTATCTCACTATGTGTGGAAATTCATCACAATACTAATTATCCAAGATAATGCATTAACCTACAACATTGCCACAAATCCTCGAACAAGTCACATTATACATTCACACCTGGAAATGGGTAGCTCGTGTTTAGGCATTAGTGCAAAAACCTCAACCCAAAAAATAGGACCCATGGCTTCAACCTTATAATACAAAAACCACATTTTGGTACCAATAGCGACATGCTCTAGAATGAGTAGTTGCTCACATATTATATCTCGGTCATCCGGCGCGCTACTTTAACTCATCACAATTCTATATTACCTTACCAAATATATATCCTTTTTAACAGGAAAATACACAAATGCGGTGCCTTAACCTCAAGATTGATCACCTTATCCGTTTAAAAAAATCAAGCAAGTTTTTCAAAGTGATTCACCGCCAAGGGAAAGTGGTTTTTCTCCTTATATTAGTCATTGTCCGTAAGGTCCTACAAGTTGAGCTTCCTTGAGATAATCAAATGCTACTTACTCCTTCTATCGACATCACGTGAAACGGGCTCTAAGCTCATAATTCTACGATTTTATGTTGAGGGTGCTTTCACTGCTCTCTCTCTCATACTCGTGTCACGTCCGGACTTTATGGTCAGATTAAATGTAATTGCACGACCACACTCGTGGTTGATTCACTTAACGCGACTAATCCGCTAGAGATCGATATAAGTCATCCTCCACAATGCTAACACCTAGACTCACAATTGTCTGAGTTATCTGAATCTTCACTCTCTCTTCACAAGGTCTCCATCATGCGAGAATGAGCGCGGCAGCCTAGGAACATATCTGCAGTGTCTAGGCGCCCGCGCATAGCCAGATAAAACACTAACGTCAAGATAAGACCCGCTTGACAATTCCTATAGTCCATGGTATAATACGGCGCCCAAAATCCTAGATCTCTTAACGATGGATTTCGAGACTTTATGTGACTGCTATTCATCCAAAATTCCACACATACTGTGTACCAAAACAATTTCATTCTCCTTCTATCTAGTTAGTGAAGATATAAGTGACAAGATGGGGAGATCGAGAAATGAACGCAAATATAAGTTAGCGATGACTCGGCGTTCTCCAAAAGGAGAGCACATACGGTTTTTTATATATGGATCTGAATGACAGAACAAGAGCCTATTGCTCATATAGTATTTGATATGATTATAAGTGACTGAGATGTATGTTAGATATGTTAAACGGTTAATATATATCATGTCTTATCAGAAGATAAACCCGTGTGTGCTATATTATTTGATATACCAACATTTGTAGAGTACTAAAGATCTTACTATAGTCTATAACTGAAATTGTAATATTCTAAAGCACCATGAATACTGAGTATCAAGGTGCTCACCACTCTAGTAGCGTCCGTCCCTGCTCTCTCACCCCACGGCCCAGCTCGCCAGCCTCTTTTCATTGGCTCGGCGTCAAACCATCATTATCTGGTGTTGACATCCAAATTCTTA